AAAAAAGTCTTCCTTGGCATTTTGTCAGAAAAAAAAATCTTTCCATGGAAAGGATTGTATGTATATCCAATAATTCTGCTCAAAAAATATATTGCCAGCACAGAAGTCCAAAAAAATTTTTTCTACTTATATTAAAAAAAGATGACCCAAAAAAATTCCCCCCTCCCCCAATATGGGTTTCCCCTAAACSCGCTGGGTTACATCTATTAAGCATTCGTCATTGACATGTCAAGCTGGGTCTTATTGAAGAAACTGTGAATCATTGATTTAGAAGTAAAAATGAATGAACTACTTAAACGCTGTACACATTATGACGAAATTGTATCCGCAATTTTCTTTTGTTTCGATTCCGGGTCGCGTCCAGACTTGTCTGTCGTGTCCAACCATATCCAGAAATTTAGATGTGTTTGAAAACAGAATTCGGATACGTGTGGACGCCAAGCTTAAGRTACGCAATAAAAAAATTGCGGGATCGGTTTTTCCCGTCATCATGTCATCATGTGAGCTCAGCCTCAGCTTTGTTCCCCAAGGATCGAAGAGAATAAGTCAATTTACTGCAAGGGAAACACAGGGGTGGCGGAGCCGGTTTGGCCTCGTGGTGAATCATCATAATGATCATTATCATTATTGTTATTAAGGATCTAAAGATATGGCTTTTAGAAAGAAAGAAATATTTACATTGTGCTATTATACATATATTTATTTATTGATCAGTATTTTATACGTTTGTTTCTTTGTCCTTTGCTCTTTAACCACAAATTCTAAAATTACATTAGCAAAATCTTTATTATTATTCACTATTTTTAATAAAGGGATATCCAATTTCGTAGTGTGACGTGTCTAAGTKTGACATCGAGAAGACGTAGCGTGAATAAGAATAGTTTTCTAAAAATATTACCGACCCTGACCTTTTAAGAATAGACAAATACAAATCTGACATAAACATAAATATTAATGTAACATGTTGTGATATATGATGTGTTGTAGAGTTTTCTTATGATTTGTATCTGGTTTTTGTTTGTTTGTTTTGTTTTTCTTCCTTTAATACTCTTTCATTTTTCAAAAGCAAAAAATCATGAAAASTCGGCCTCGATTCGTTAAATTCAAATAATTCAGTCATGATTTTTACGTACGTAAGGTAATTACATAATGTAAAATGTTTTTCCGGAAAAGAAACATTCGAGAAGAAAGTCATGAATTCTAGTGAAAAATATTGTAAAAATAGATTGGTGGGTTATTTTTCCATAAGTCTATCAAATAAAACAATGTTCCAATAGATTACTTGTAAAATAGGTGTACTGTACAGGTAGTCACGACARCACTGATTGGTTGTAGGTCCCGGTAGGTCAGTCTAAAGAAACGTCCCGAGCTTTCTTCAATATGATCTTGATATTATTGCATTTGAAACAGCATTATATCTGTCAAAATTCAATAATATTTTTCTGTAGTAAATTGCCATTTTTAAATTTAATTTATTATATATTATAWATTCCAGAGGTGTGACTATGGTAAGGCTATGAGGGGTGAACTTTTCAGGGTTATAATAAAGACTCRGGGATATTTTAGGGTCTGACATCGTATCTTCAAACATTACACTACACAAAAAGATTATAGATTTAAAATTATATCTAAAATATTTGAAATGATATTTATATACTGCCACCGTGCTCTAAAGTATAGTTAACTTCAGCCGTTCTCTCGTTAAACACAGCAATATCGCTCTAAGTAATTCTAGTATCGTCATAAGAAATGTAGTCGTACCTTTTAGTGTCTGAAATCAGTAACTAAGGCAATTTATGCGCACTTTTACTAATTACTTTCAAACAGGTGCATTCAGGCTTAGGTTTCCAAGGATGTATATCAAAATATCTTTTCATGATGATAGTGCCTTAATAAATATAAAAATTATAATTTTGACTTTGTGATATACACATAGATATAATATCATCAAAAATCAATTTCTAATAGTACGGTCAATCGCCGAAATCAATTCGTTGAACTTAATTCTATTCTTTTTATTGCTTTTTGTTTATAACCAACCTTTCTGGAGCTTTAAAAATTAATATATTTAGTACAGTCAAATAATAATTCGATGTAAAAACTGTTTTTTAAAAACTGAGTTTTGCCGGAATATTTTTGCAAAATGTTTGAAATCATTGATTTTCTTTACTGTATGTTACTGTAAGACAGTTGGTGTAGTATTGTAATACTCTAAAGTTGTTGATTTCGTTTACCACTTATTAAGGTGTCATAGTTTTTTAAGAAATATTCTAGAAAAAAAAWTTTTCAACCATACAAAAATGACCGTTGCCATGGTAACGCCCATCAACCTAAAAATGGCGTTKTTTAAAAATTTCATCTTATTTCTATGACTGATCCACTGGCAAAAATCAGGTACATAGGAATAAGTTCAARCAACAGAAACGTTGAATGAAAGTGAGAGGTATGGTCAAAAACAACTACAGCGATCAAACGTACGTTTCTGGGCCGCTCGCCTGCTGGATAACCATAGAAGCAACCTGCTTTTTTTACTGGGGCTGCTTATATTTTTTTCACGAATGACAGGAAATCAAAGTTGCAAAAAAAACGTGAGATCTATAAAGAAAGCATAGCATTATCTACATCTTCATTTACACAACAGTCAACGGTGATTTCGGCAAAAACGTCCTTAAATACACATCATACATTCCCTGTAGGTTTAAAGATATGAAACAAAATATATATGAACTTTAAATATGGATATGTCATGGAAAATATTCCAACCCAGTAGCAATCATTGTGAAARAAAAACTATAAAATAACACAAGACTATTGAGAGAAGTTTGAAGAAACAAATTGGATTAAATGATACGAAGAGTGTGTGATTTAGAAACGTGTGGAAATAGAGGAAGTCTGTGATTTCCAAGGTTTTATCCTTTGCACGTACATCGCAATGTGTTGCTTAAACGCGTCGAYCGTCAAWGAGATTTAAACCTTTTTACCGTCAGATCATGCGGTCGAGAACATGCTTGATAAGAACTGACGGCAGAAACTTAAAATCAACAGTCACAAGAAGTTGAGTCGGTTGAGCGTGGGGATCTATAAATGTCGGGCCATCAGCTGAGAGTTTTCAAACTACCTAAAATCCTTGGTAATTTTTCAGAGTAGGGCAAACAACTGACGTGACATCGATAAGTGCAGTATCATGTGCCCATAAATGGTAATACACTCCAGTACAGCTTAGCGTAGGATCGTTCAATAGGTTACCTCTTGGCTTCCAAGCTACTGTTAAAGGCTTATTTACAAGCCACTTCACGAGAACCATTCGATTTTGTCCCGTTTAGTGGGAATCTCCCACTAAACGTGACAGACTTTGAAATTACGTCTTTACCGTGACTTATGACGTCACAGTATGTTCGTGATGCTTTCCGTTTGATGACCATGCCATGACGTCATAGGATTGGTCAGATCTGTCTGGAGACAGCGTATTTCGCAAGAAGATAAACACGTTGAGTATAAATTGCCAAACCCAGTTCCCGACTGGTTAAAGCCACTTCCACCACGACACAACAAGTACTTTGTGGTCGGAGGATTTTTATGTTTGAGAACGAMCTTGGRTTGTGTGATTTTGTACTAACTGATTCTTGATATAGGACAAATCACTAGACTATGGAAAAGGTTAGTCAAGGTAAATAACAGTAGATTTGAATTATTTCAATTTGTATTTTTTTATCGATTGTTTATTTCAAGCATCTTTTTAAAATAATTTTGTCATTGGTTTGTTGATCAGCTTGATATTTGATTTGAATAATGTTTTCTAATCATGATTATTTAATAACTCGAAATAACAGTGTACTCAAATGAAGTTGCTTGATATTTCTCGACCATCTGTGTTTGGTTTTAATTTGACAATAAAYCCAACCAATAATATTTGAGATTTTGAGGTGGAATCCTGAGTCATCTAGTGCCATCTAGCYGATTAAACGGAATTTCTAATAGTACGCGGCGCCTCTCAGCATGCGAGGCGATGTCAATGGCGTGACGCGTGTCTTTCGTATCTATAAATAGCATGCCAAGATATGTGAGCGTTTGACGTCATCGCAATGTGATTAATTATTGAAGGCACAATGTATACAATTTCTCTCTACATGGACATGTGTGCCATTGAACGTTTGACTCATATTTATGTGTTGTCGTTTTTCTAGATGTTGGAATGGCTGAAGACTAGAGTTATGGGATGTATACCTTCACGAAGGCGATCCCCACAAGGTTCTGTAACCGAAGAGCCTTCTGAGACTAGAACTGGGGGTTCATCAGAAGATTCAAAAAAAAACCCAAATACTAAACCGAACCTTAAAACAACAATACAAATGGTTAATGACGAAACGCTTAAACTCTTGCAAGAAATAGGCGAACTCAAAGACTTTGAAACGGCGAAAACTGACTGCAAAAAAAATATTGCCGTTCATCACGATATAATGTTAGCTTTAGAAAATCCTAAAAGCTTGAACTCGACCAAGACTTCTAAGGAACCAGTTGAAACGAACGTCAAATGAAGTATAACTCTGGAGATCTCGGAGAAAACGCCATTCGTTCAAATAATCAACGTGTTAAAGTTGTATGGATTCTGGGTTAGGTCGATGCTACCGTTCGACAGGCACACCAACTGGTGCTATACGACAGGCGAGGATAAAACACCACTTCTTAGTGATGTAGCTGCCCTACATGATGGATCGAGATCGAAATCTCAACTTTAGAAATCCGTACGTACTGAGCGATTACCATTGTATGTGTGATGTACAATGCCCGGATACAAGGCGACAACAACTAGCGCGGACAGGGAAGGAAAACTAACCCGAGCGACATCTTCTCTCGCCGTCGATAAAATACTGGAAAATGCATTATTAAAAACCATTAAAATTACGGATAATAAAGTGCGTGTATGGACTTCAGGTGGAGCGAATATTAGAGGAATTTGATAGAAAGAAGGGCAAAATCAATGAAGAGAAAGCCAAAGTATGGAAATAAATTGGTGTTTACAGTGAATTGAGTCGGTCATTCGAATTTGGTTAGAGGCAGAATGTGGTGCATGATTAAGATTTGCCTGTGTGGTTTAATAGTATAGCCACAAAAGAAAACAAAGTACAAGAAGTCACGGCAAAAATTTTAAGACGATTCAAAAGTGGGGATAGAAAGCTGCTTGATCAGCCTGAGCAACGTTGATGTAAATTCGGTCTTTCATAAATATTCAGGAAAACACTATGAGCATTGAAGTTCATTTACTTGGCTGATCCACTGTACTAACAGATATCTTGCTCTCTTAGAACCTCGATTGTAGTCGAAGAAAAACATTGTATTAGGCGTTTTACAATGTAGTCAAAAGTACAAAAGTATAAAAGTGTATTTATTATGATTCTAGTCACATGTGGATTATATTACCCACTAGAGATGTGTGTTGGAGGTTGGATTTAAACTCCTTAGCAAACAAAATTCTACTTGATAGTTAGTAAGCAAAGACTAAATAGTTTTATTTTCGAATTCTGGAAGACTTTAGGGGTTTATTATTTGAATCTGATGATTCGTGTCTCCCTGGCGAAAAGGACTTATGTCAAATATACGACTGACGTCATCAGTCTTTCAATTAGCATGTTCATGGTTCGTTGAAGACTAGAGATGATTCACATGAAATCGCTATTAGTCTACAAGCGATTTTTATCGTATTTATTCACAGAGAATATAATTCCAGACCAATGAATATTGTACACGAATTACAAAGCAAAATTATAATATGCAAATTGAAATCATTAGTGAGAAGAGTGATAAAAATTAGAGCATCTAGCGCATTATAGGAATCGGCATCTTCACGTAGTTTTTATGATATAGAATTATAATGAGTAGCTCACTAAATAATAAAGRAATAATGATCATGATTACAAATAAAATGCATTGATATTGATTTATATAAAAAATACTGTTTCAGAGTTCTTATTTCTATTTTCATTTGATATTTCTATCGTTTAGATGGAAATAAGGGATTTTATTGATGCCTCATTTGGTCATGTAATAACTCCATTCAACACAAGCTGTTGATCAATTTGACGGCCAAAATGTTAATCAACGGCTCTTTGCCAGCTGTGTACTTTGACAAAACCATGTACATCAGTTAACATGACTTAATTTGCCTCCCAACCAAGCTAACCGCGTAATAGTATACTCTATAACAAAAACACCTTGAATTATCCATCATGTTTGAGACATTTTGGCTGTAATTAGCGCTGAGTTTAATCGTTGAATATTGACATGGTTCGATCTACGTCCGCCTGACATCKATTATGCAGAATAAATTAGAGAAAATTGAATCATGGTAGAAACTTATAGCGCATGCGCGTATGTCAAATCTTGACGTGTATTTTAGAATTTTCTACTATTGATAATTGAATCAGGCTTTTTGTTGTGCCGAAAACATGATAATGGTGACAYATTCGAGACAAGTTAAATGAAGAAGAGATGAATTTGTACATCTGAAAAAAAGAAAAAAAAGATTATTATGGTCAATCTGGTAAAATTTTCAGTTGTCAAGTTGTAGATACAAGAGAAGATTGGAAAATTTGAGAATGATGTTTTTCAGCTTAATTAATACGCAGTATTTTATGTCATTTGTTGTCATAGATGATAGACCCTTATAGAATAACACACGCATGTACAGTATTGAATTGTTCATTATTATCGTAATGACGACGTACCACGAGTATTTCAAAAAACTGTATGGTTCAAAATTAGCTCGACCATGTGTACGTGGAGGTCTGGGTACGTTCCCCACAACGATTATTAGGGTTTTGGTATCTTCTAGGAAAATGAGTATTAATAAATGTAACCAACTATTCAGATATTCGGGTAATAGTGAGGTTTATGATGAATTTATAGTATGATACAATTCAAATAAAGTATATACACCTATAATTACAAAAACGTTGTCCAAAAGAAATAGAACGTTTGTATTTTAGTGCAAAAGAATTAATAAGGCAATGAAAAGCGTTCGTCCTGAGAAATATTCTCTTATCTTTTTAATTATTCCGTACTAAAGTATAAATTTCGATTTCTGTATAACAAAGTTTTTGTAAATAGGTGCATATCTACAATCATGACCTAATAATACTAGAAATTTGCTGTGTTACATCTTTATAATGATTGGTCATCGTTATTTATTAGGCATAATGAACCAATGAGTTCTCGTTAGTAAAGATTTTGTGCCGTTTTTYGTCCTGAAGGGAATATAGGAATGCAATACACCAATGGCATATTAGTTTAAACSGTCCTGAGTCGTTTGATAGAACAACGTGTATATGGGCATTGAATGAGGAGCGGATAAGTCGAATATCGTAGCACCTGGTTTTCAGTCTACGTTGAACTTGATCGTCATCGAATTTCATTTGCACTCATGATGGACAGTATTATCTCACAGCTTTTCTAATTAGAATTGCATATTAGTAATAAAACAAGTCTGTTCCTATTTGATATTTCTCATTTAATAGTTAGATATGTTTTAATCATTACTTCTCTGCATGAAAAGCAATTATTTTCAACATACTCGCCCTGCATACCATATTTCTTATGTATTTTTTTGGATTCGTTTAGAGTGTTCATTAATCATGTTGCTGGACCAGATATGAACTATCTTGTGGAGTTTTTCCGAGTGCAGTTCACCGTCTCGCTACTCGTTGGACTAGTGTTTGTACCTAAGGTACGTACATGTGTATGGTATGTAGGTTTTATCCTCTCGGTTACGCCTTATTTATAAATGTAAATGTATGCCAAAAGATCGTTATGTTAACCCTATAGTACCAGGGGTTAGAGTTAACCCTTAGTACTATTCATACGGCCCCAACAAGCATCTACGACGATAAACCGGTCGGCCATATGAACTATGAGAAACAAATTTCAACCCAGGGTAGATTATGAACATTTTGATAAACGTCGACATTACTAAAAGCGGTAAACAGCAGGTGATGGCCATATGGTCATCCCAAARCCTAAAAATACCTCGATGGACTTCATCTAGATTCAAATTGAAAACAACTAAAAAGAATTGGTTCATAAGCATTTTTAAGGCAATTATTTATACACATATATGAACTGAAATGATCGTCAGGTGATCAGTGTTTTTAATGTATAAATAAATAAGAAAGACTTTGAGTTCTCAAAATAGAAAAAGGAGCGCGTATTAAAATCACCTCCTAGTGTAAGACAGCAGAATTTGAATGATTTATAATTTTARATAAACTGTGTTTACATTTGAGTCTTAAACTGTTTCGATTGTTGTAGTTGAATGTACTTTCTTATATGGCACACCCTCCTATACTGAAGGTCTTTTTGAAAGCTAATTGTACTTAGTTGCAGACCAGACAGATTTCTGTTTTTGCAAATGTCTTAAAATAAAGGAGATCGTGGACACTCTCGCCCCCTTACTGAGAYTGTAGTCCAGATCGTACTTAAAGTACCGATAAAACTACGGATTGTGCTTTGACTTAGGAAATACTATTACAAATTTTCACTGCGGAAAGTGTTTCTGATTGACCTTCCTCGGTCTCAGCTTAATTGTGTGAAGAAAAAAATGTACGGTGTATAGTTTATAATAAGCTACCAGACAATCTTTCCATTTGAGCTTTCCCATGTACTAGTTTGTTTCTGCATGTGATTTATGGTCGACGCAGTCCAGTTCTGGCCTCCTTTCGACCCGCTATGCAGGATGCGCACAACAACATTGAATAAATCAAGCATGCTAATACAATGCAAGTCCATCAAGGTGAAACCTGTACCTTGCCGAGAAAATGTGTATTCTTATGGAGAATAATCCAGCGCACCTTAACAAAAGAACTGAATTAATATGACACGAGAACAAATAATACGCCGCGAAAACAAAAAAAGCACTATAAATAGAGCATTGAGTTCCAACCCAGTAGTCTGATRATCGCGTAGAGTACAAACACTAAATGTGTGCAACACTTTGCACTATTTACTACTAAATAGTGTTGATCAAGCAATAGAAAACAATCGAATTAGAATAATTTGGGAGTGTTTAGTGGTATTTATGTTGCACAGTTTTAGTGTTTGCACTCTAATGTGTGAAACTCAAGTAACTACAAAGTCATGTTATCATGTATATTATGTATACGCATTTGTTTGCTACTTTTCCCTGAAATGGACATAGTTAAGTCASGTTTCGATCTTACTAGGTTGTTAGGATATTAAAAGGGCGTGGTGACGTTTTCGATTCCAGTGGTAAGCTGGCGTCAATCAAAGGAGCTTCCTTGAGCCTTAGGAATATGCATGCAGGCCCAAGTTCTGAAGGTACAGTGAACCTTGCTCAAGAGAATGAAGAACTCAAGGTAAATGATTAGTGTTATAAATTTCGTTCATCTTGCTGCATGAGTTAGATTTATTGCTATTCATATTAGAGATATTTATTAGAAAATATTAGACTCACGACTGCAGTTTAAACAGTAAATAGAGCTTCAAGACAAATATAAGGMGGCGTTTGCATGAGGCACTATGGTATCCCTGTGTAGTGTACAGTTTTGTTCTGTGTCTATAGTCCATGGTGATCAAGAAAGAATCTTACGAAAAAAAGTGAAAAGCCYATGAAAAAAACAGGAAATATATCACTTGCCCTCTTTGACACTTATCTAGATAGATGAATCTAGATATGGCTTGCTAACTTTGCATTAAAATATAACAACACGTTTTTCGTCATGTGAAAAAAACTTCATCGGCTGTTATGGCTATATCAGTTATTCMTATATATTTTTGTTTTAATCAGGYCGAAATTCGTAAGCTGTACTCCCAACTCCAGCAAATCAAAACAGCCAACATGGTTTACGACAATCGACATTTATCCAAGTCTACCGGTCAGTTGAATGACTCTGTTGTATCACTTGCAGAAATAGGAAACAATTTTGCAAACCCGAGCTTTTCACCGAGACGCAGCCGGAGAAATCAGCGTCTTTCGCCCGCAGCTGARCTTGCAAGTGACTTTGTATGATTTACTTGGAATAAGGTACAGTCGGCAGAAACGATAGACTTCCATTAAATTTTATAATGGAACATGATAACAATGYTGCATTGCTGTTAATATGTCACCGCAATTCGTAAAGTTTTAATAAAAGTGGTCAGTCCAAACTCAAACTCGGGCATTGACAAAACCTTGATTTTCTCTCCCAGTCTCCAGTTAATCTCTGAGAACTGAGACACTGCAAAAGTTTGCCAACTGTCCTGCAAGTGGCTTTATCTTAACAACATTTTGGTAAGACTGGTAAACTGAGGAGAAGGGCTTAAAAAGGCTAAATATTGAGTTTTCATTTGATAGCATCATCCGCCTTTTTGCGTTTTAAACACCAGCAGAAATACCAGAGGTAGCTTCTGTGTGTGTATGTAATAATGCTAGTATAGCGGTATTCATTCGGCACATACCTTCCTTATCGTTTCTCTGGGAAACTCAGTGTGATTTCAAACCATATGATTGGGTAGTACAGTTTGACAAGAACGACGTTCTCTGACCAAAAATGGAAGCCAGTTCGATTTCCGGTTTACAGTGTGTGTACTCAGCCTCTGATGGGAAGGGCAAGAATCTTGTTACAGTGAATCACAAGAATATGCGGCAAGTCGCCATGTCCTAAACAAGGAGAAAACCGARTACTAATACGAATTAGTAAAAAATACTGACCGACGTATATGATGACATCATTTTTTTCATCATCATTGTTAACCGTCAAACCTGAACCTGTGCACAGATAAAGAACCGTCAAACCTAAACCTGTGCACAGATAAAGTTGGAATTATTTCCTTTTCATGTACAATGAATAATGGAGTTGATTTGATGCTTGATTTATGACGTCATTCATGCAAAACAAACCCAACAACATGCTTAGCGAACTTATTATTATTCCATTGGTACTATTTTGTACTATAAATGAATGAATGAATGAAATGCGCCTACTCTAGCAAAACAAATATGAAGCGGTATGCGCTATTTGATTGCATGTATAATGTCAAATAGACATCAGCTGCTCAGAATTACTATTATTATACTATTATATAGCAAGACGTCGTCTTTAAGACTTCCTTGAGGCGATGAGGGCTATCATAACTTTGTGGGTGACTATTCATTATTCATTAGAATTCAACTTTATTTGTCCAGGGTTTCAGCTTCTAAAATTAACTACTCGAGATTTTACAAAAATAACTTACTGCAATTATCCGCCCTACAATGAAACAAGAAAGGTCGATATTCTTTTATATTAGCCAGGAAAATAGACAATAATATGACATTCATGTCGCAATAGGCAAACCTATTAGCTTCTCAATCTCATTCTCAGTTGCAACTTGAGAAGTAAGAAGGAGACAAGAATTTCTCGCTGTCAAAAATGGCTTAATTAATTTTGATTGATTACTTGACTATTTTCGTGTAATTGCGACGCCGCCACTTTAAAAGGAGACAAAATTCGCTGAATTTTAGTCTCAAACATGAATGTCTCTTTGAATGAAAGTTCGTTATATGGGCGAGGTGAAATCCGAGTCAGCCATAAAGTCGTCAAGACATTGGCCTACTCTTTCCTATTCGTTCTTTCCATTTTGGGCAATTCTTTTATTGTATGGGCAATCTCCAAAGACAGTCGACTGAGAACAAACACTAATTTTCTAGTAACCAACATTGCAATAAGTGACATTTTGTTTGCTTTAGTGAAYTTTCCGCAGTCTATAGTGGCAATAATCTTTGATCGCCGATGGATGCTTGATGGCATTGGTGGACTTATTCCATGCAAGCTTATTCCGTTCATCTCTGATGTTTCCAGCGCTGTTTCCTTATATAGTTGTGTTTTTATTGCTATCGACCGATACTATGCCGTGGCGTATCCTCTCAGAGGAGGATTTAGCAGATCTCGAATGAAGTATATCGTGCCAGGTATATGGATCGCCTCTTCTGTCGTGATATCACCGTATTTGTATTACTTTAAGTTGATCCATGGCATATCTGTAGTCAGGTGCATATGGGAACCGCCATACACATACTTGATGTCTGTTATAGGGTACAGCTTTGGCATAACAGCGCCAGTTATAACTATCATGTACGTCATGATAGTGTACAAGCTATGGACACACACAATTCCAGGTGAACGAACTGAATCTTTCAAAAGAAGAGAAAAGCAAAACAGGAACGTTTTCAAACTTTCCGTTGCAATTGTTATGCCTCTGTATATGACAGAGTTAGCTCTKGTTATTGCTGTATTTCTTAAGATGTTTGGTAACCTAGCAAGCCTGTCTAGTGGAGATGTGGAAGATTTGATGTTTGCCGTTGTTTATTTGAAACACACGAGTGTCGCTTACAATTTTTTTGTTTATTTACGTTTCAATGAAGTATATAGAGAGAATTTCAGGAAGCTAATGTCCCGGTGTTTCTGCAGTTGTTTCCATTTTAAAGCAGCTCTCCCTCGAACGCATTACAGTTTTGACATGAATAGTTTCGAYCATCCTACGCCGTCTGTACAAACTTTAAACTTTTTAGACTTATCCCATTGAGATGTCAKTACCAAAAGAGACTATGAAGCTGTAAATCACAACTGGTTGCCAGCGAGAAATTCAGGAAAAAGACCTCTCCATGCAAAGAATACTTTCTAAGAATTTTTGCCAGGAAAATAAAAAATTCCTAACTAAAAAAAATATCAGGCGTTTTTGACCACAAAAACGAYATATAAAAGTCATTTTTGAACTTAAAAACGTTTGCCAGGAAAAAAATTATTTTAAAGAAGGTAGGGCGCCACAACAACGTAGCTCAAAATCATAGGAAAAATGAATTCGTACAAGAACAGCTATTTAGAAGAACAGAACCCGTTGGCTGGCCTCCTGTTGTTTGGAAAACTGAGACTAAACAGAGCAAATRTTTACCTTAGACTATCAGTTATTATTTCGCATTAATACTTTTAACGCAGCGCCCTCTTTAMAAGGTAACCAAGCCTTCGCAGACAGCATTTAAACTTGCGTAGATGGTTTT